ATAATAATAATGAAAAGAATATATATATATATATATATATGGAAAAATCGAATTATATATACGAATTGATGAATTATTCAGATTTCGCGGCGTAAAAAACGTGATAATTGATGTAAGAAGATCTCAAGTATTAATATTATAAAACCTATTGGCTTCTAATACTTCATGAGGTATTTCGTAATGTTGTTGTCCTCCGGGACTCAATGTATGATCGAACAAGGTATTTCCTAATAAAAACGGAAAGTAAATGCATCCAAAACCATTTTGTAGAAGACCAGCATTGATAGGAAAATTCACAGCGATCTGATCTGTTTCGTATAATGAAAAATCGTTTTGTGTATTGATAAAAGTTTGATTTGAAATAGAATTAATCGAATTGATAAGGTTTTGGTCAATTTGTGACCCATTTTTTTTATTCGAATATGGTGTTGTTTTCTTAACACGTGTTGTAGATTTTTTCTTGTTCGTCTTGTGAATCCTATCTTTATGTCCAAAATTTTCCATGTTCACATTCACAAAAACATTTGCAACTTCTTTTGCCACTTTTTTAACATTACAATTCTCATAACGTTCTTTCTCAATCATTTTAATATGTTTGGCAATTTCTACAAATATATTTTTTTGAAGTTGACTTGCATGCTTCCAAATTTTCGTTGTAACTTGAGTTAAAAATTTACCATCTGCAATTTCATCAGTTAAACCTCTTTTAATTGCAAGTAAATAAATCTTTCGGCGACAACATAAGAATGAATTCATAGGTCGGGGAATCTTTTTTATGTCTTTTGGAATTGGCATAAGCAATTCATTTATATCGATATTAAAATTAAACAATTGATTCATATCAAGTTTATTGATGAATCGATCTAATGAATCGTCATATAAGTTAAGAAAATTTGGTTCACTCATGTTTCGTTAAAAATATATATATGAACTTTGAAACAGAAAATGTTTGTGTTATTTAATATGAACCATCGGATTGAATGAATGGTCAAAACTCGACTTGAAAAAAAGCCTGTATTTATATTGTTTGAACGAATTATATTTTAACATTTTATCTCAGTTAACAAATTTATACAAATATATCTTTGTTAAATAATCCATTTCAGGTTTATCAAAATGAAATAGCGGGAAAAATTGAGCGAGAAGGCGTAAAATTACGTATAATTCGTAAACGTTGAATGGAATAATTATATAAATATTATTATTATAAACATTGAAATACTAAATATATTTAAAAAGGTAAATGTTTATTACACAAAATATATATTAAACTTCTAAACTTAAAACTAGGTAATTATAATTACCCCGCGGAAAAAAAAAAATACATATTAAATAATCAATATTTTTTTTTTTTAACTATATGTTTCACGGAAAAAGATAAGACATAAGTATTAACTTTATTAAAACCTACCTATTAATTATTACTACGGAATAACAGATAAGTATAAAAGTTTCACTAATAATCAACTATTAATTTGTTAAAGCTCGTTCAACCTTCTCCGATACCTTGAATATTAGAAAAAAATTATTAATTTAAAATAATAAAATTAATAATAAGGAACAATACCTTTAAACCTTGCATATTGTTGCTTGTTCATTATCATTCGTAAATATTCGCACCAACGAATCGATCGGGATAATAGACTTACTTTGTTTCGTATGATTATGGTTAGAAGTAAATATTTTTTCTG